CTTGACAAAAGAAACAAACGTTTTCGAAAGATTTTAATTCCTGTTAGTTTCCAAAATAACAAATCGTTTATTATTCATACCAAATAGATAAATCCTATTCAGGATTTTATACGAATTTCGATAAAAAGTATAATTTTGTATTGTCCCTATCACACCTTTGAATACAAATGAATCTTTAGGTAATGGGTTTAAATGTGTCATGTAAGTCCTACCATGTTGTTTTGTAATAAAATCAGTGACATATTAAAGACATATAGTATATACGTCTCTGTAGTTATATGTAATGTTATATCGACACGACTATAACATTGATAACCTTTTTTAAAAATGAAAACAATATCTTTTTTATAAAACTTTTATAAAGAAAAAAAAAAAAAAAAAAAGGGTTCTGAATATGAAATTACAACGGGTCTAGATTATAACGTCCCTCGTCCCTACTGTGCTATATGCATGAAAGTTAAGGGGAGGTAATAAATGCATGTGCGAAAAATGCATTGGACCCTTCTTATATGTTGCCTGTGTGGGGACAGTGACCTTAAAAACCCAGATACGTAAAATAAATCATGTATATAAATATAAAAACTCACTTTATTTCACAATAATTATGAAACTAGTTTTTATAAAGTATATTAACCAATTGTATTGACACGGACTGAAGCGCGCAGGGGCTCTTTATGTTGGAGGAAATTGGAGGGTAATTGGAGTACCCGGAGAAAACCCAGGTGGTCGGGGCAGGTGACCCAATATACGTTTTTCACGTCCGATCGGGGAATCGCACCAAGATCGTCTTGGTGAAAGGCGAATGCTCTATCAACTGCACGACCCGACCAACAAAGTATGTAGAAGTACTTATGATATGTTTCCCCCAGCAAGTCATGGGTCACTGGCTGTCCTTGGGCGTTACAACTTTGTGTTATTTTTTTCTATAATTCAATGTATCTGTCCTTTGTCACATACCAATCGACTGGCAGACACATGCTGACTTAGACGTGGTCAAATAATCAGTGATATCTGTGGTCAAATAGCCAATGACCGATAGTATCACGGACTTGGATTATCTAAGTCCGTACTAGTATACATATTATCTCTGGCTATATTTCCTTGGCGCCATTTTGTAATTGATCGTAAATAGCCAGTGGGTGACTCGTGTGGTTAAAACGGATATTATTTATGGTGAATAACACAAACCGATAATCAATCTACGTACACTTATTACTTATACCGTTAACTTCTTGTTGCTTGATGTTCCGGAAAGGTCAAGCCCCGTGAAAAAGCCGTATAATTTGTTTTGCTGGTTGGGGCAGACATTAGAAAATACAAATATGTACATATACCGTTATATAGCGCCAATACAATGCCATCCGAACATTCACGTGTATTGTCAACGTTTCTGTTCTCGTTTCCGGACACCATTAGTCTGTTATATACATCACGTACAATTGAACAATCGTTTCTCTGGCAATAAATTCAAATTGTAGTGCAAAAAAGAAATAAAATAACATTAACAATCAAGTGCGCGTAATATTTTACCAATGTGCTCCCAGTTTGAATTTTTAAGAGCATTCGCCCAAGATAAAGTCTTTTTTTTTTCAAACACCTAATCGGCGCGAAGCTCCGCCGGGGTTTGATCTGTAACCACTTTCTCCACCTCCGGTGCTTCCGTGAGGGTGAAAGCCTTCTGGGCAACTGAGGCCGCACAGTGTCTACAACAATATGATAGTAAACCCTTCAGTAAACCCGACAGAATAAGTGGTTATGTTGTCAACCTTTGCAGCATACATTAATGTTTTATATAACTACACTAATACTATCATTTTTGTCTGGAAATCTTACCAGATAATAGCAGCAAACGGCATCATTGCACTGAAAACCCATTCAAAATGGCGCTCTGCAATGTTGTCAAGCGTGACGTCATTAGAACTTGACGTCAAGAAATACGTTACACATTCCCGCGCTTTTACGATGTAGCAATATTTGCGTTGCTTGACGTAAAAAATGTAAGAAATAGAAAATGTCATGGTTTTCCCATTCAATACAATTTTTATTTCACTTGTATAAAACGAATATGTGATAACAACAACAAAAAACCCAGCGTTGTGGCAAAATGTGTCTTCGTAACAGTCTCCAGAAGGAATACCTATAATGCCAAGGGGGGCTGTGATTGACGCTTTCACCTAGAAGACGGTTGATAGTTTATCCAAATGTACATTGTCAAAAGAAATATTTGCAAAAATCGCTGCGATTTTGACAAAAGGTATAAATTATATTTTATATAAATTATCTTATGTCCATTCTCTCTCTCTTTCTCCCAGGAGATGACGTTATTTAAGGATTAACTTGAATATATTGTTCATATTATGAAGATATAACACAAAAAACGGAGTGTACTCTAAATAAACCGCGAAGCGGTTTATGAAAAGAGTACACTCCGTTTTTTTGTGTTATAGCTCCATAACATGAAAAATATATTCAAGTTAATCCTTATAATTTAATCTACTTTACACAATCCCTGTGGAAATCCACTTTTATTGATGGAATCAAAAGCGACGTTACCAACGGCGACGTATTTTATTTTACGTTATGCGCTGATAACATAATTTTTTAAGCCAATGAAAATGCTTGTTACAAGCAAGTTTAAATTATTACCAAATTGTTTACATTTAAACGTGTGGTTTACAATGTACATTTGCGTGCTGTGGAATATTTATTGAGGGACAATAGTGCGAAATGTAAGGATATTAATCGTGAACGGAATATTCTGAACTACAAAATTAATGCCATTAACAAGTTATATAGTTATAATTAAATAAAATAAAGTATGCAGGATCCGTTTCCTCGTGGTTGTTGGACTGTCAGTAAGTCAATCTAAATATAGATTTAATGTCCAGTAGCTCTGCTGCATTTTCTTGTCGAGACTAATAGAACGTTAATTTAATAATCTGATACTTCACATGTTCATATACTCTAGAAGACGCACTACAAACAAGTTTAACATTAACCCTAGTTATCCTTAATTTTTCTCTGTACAAACGGACTAGTGGAGACAGAAGTACCACCAAGAGCTGAGTGCAAAAGTGATTATCACTGGTTCCGTTTACATGGAGAAGGAAAAATCACATGGTCCGGGATACACTGATATTGTGTTACCTAATTCATTACGGAAGTCAGTAGCTTTGTTAAATTATCATATCCCCCTCCCCTACTCTTTCTCTCTCCTGTCTGTCTTCACTACCTCTCTGTCTACCTCTCTTAATTAAAGCCAATGTCAATATATATATTTGTATTATGCCATCTTGATAATTTGTATTAATATTTTGTAGGGAAAGGGCTTAATATAAGTTGTAAAACTTGTGTCCAACTCCCATTGTATATAAATTACAAATTGTTTAAAACAAAACCTAGTTATCCTCGTCAAGTTTTGTCATGCAAGACACTTAGCATAGAGACCTAGATTAAAAAAATTATTGATATTTTTGCAATCAAGAAAAAATGTGTAATATAATTTCCGACATACAAGATACTTCGCATAGACACTTCTATGTTTTAAAACCTCATTGGTATGGTGACTCGATTGCAGAAACTTTGATTTAGAAAATGAAGGACATGAGAAAAGGACGAAAACATCCGACTGGTTTAGACAAAAGAACGACGGATAAAGACAACAGTACCACATATTAAAACAATGAGGGCGTTTTCCACCTGCAAAGAACAAAACATTTACAAAGAAAAGTAAACAAGAATAAGTTGGTTAGTCGTGTCGTACGACATACGGAAGAGGCCTCTTAGGGGATAGACTGTTCAGTGGAACGAACGTGTCGTACTACAGACGAAAGAGGCCTCTTAGGGGGATAGACTGTTCAGTGGAACGAACGTGTCGTAAGACAGACGGAAGAGGCCTCTTAGGGGGATAGACTGTTCAGTGGAACGAATTGATAACATGTCACATGTACAATACCAGTCACGTACAGTTCTTTGTTGGTGTATAAAGTAAAACTTTGATATAACATATTTCCAAACTGATGAATCTTATTGAAGGTACAAGAATAAAATATATTTAGAACAAACTCTCAAATATCAAGAGAAATAACCTCATAGACAGCCAAGAACATAACATTTGTTCAGGTGGTAGTTGATCTTTAAAATTCCAGGCTTTTACGATCGCTTACTCGAGTGTTAGACAACCAAAATATCACCCCGAGGGTTGGAATTCTTTATGTTACACCCTAAAGGTAGATGATGATTATTTTTCTCCCATCCTATTAATTCAGTCACAACTCAGAAAACACACGTGGTGTACGAATATCGTCATTCACTTTGATTCACAATTACCGGTGACACATTTTAAATATAAACTTTATTTTGTTTTACAACAATTATGAAACAAGCTATTTTAAATTATATCAATCACTCTTGTTGGTCCGGGTGTTAGGGGGTCTTAGTGTCGGAGGAAACCGGAGTAACCGGAGAAAACCCACGTGGTCGGGCAGGTGACCCCAACCTTTTCCCGTCCGATCGAGGAATCGAACCCCGGCCGCCTTGGTGAAAGGCAAGTGCGCTTTCCACTGCACCACCCGACCACCCATTTAACATTTGACACATTTTAATGACGCCACAATTGAACACGTGCTAATAGTATTTTATGCAAACATTGAGTAACCTTTCTTTACAAAAACGTTTGGTGTGTTTAGAGGTTTAAACCCTATTGGCCACTGTCCTGGCTCAAAGTATAACGGTTCTCGATTGTTTTGTATAAGGTTTTGTCAATACTATTATATGCACTGTTATATATTCTATATAACCGTTTAGTAATTATATACGGGATTTAAACTGCTGACGTCTTTACTTAAGTGTGGACGGGACAACAAAAGGCCACGCTCCATTGGCTACACTTTCAAGTGTTCTGATTGGGTGGAACTACAATCGAACACTGGTCGAGTTTAAGCACACGTGGTTGATTTGTTATGGTATATTTATGTAGATGTATGTGATTTCTATTTCAGAAGAAAGAAATTTCTCCGGATGAGGAGAATGGGGAACACAGAAGAGCGGCTACTTCTACAAGTTGCCGTTATTTTCGTATTACTGAATTTTTCGGGTAAGTGCTCTTTTTTCATTAATGCAATAACCTTGGAAAGCTCGAAAATCCAGAATCTAATTATCGGACACCGATCGCACGTTTGATTGTATTATTTTATTACTAAGATATATTTTTATAACATAGATATTTCTTTTATTCAGTCATTATTTTTTAAGATATCTGGAGCCATAGCGAGCGGACACTCAGGTTTTCTTGTATGTGTATCGCAAACTTTTAAAGCAGTTTTATAACATGCGAATCACAAGGCTGGATGCATAATACATTATATTTAAATGGAAAAGAAAATTTACAAAGATAATTATTTCTATTCAAACATAGAAATCGACCTTAATGTCTTTTATCTTATAGGTTTGAATGAAGTCTAATTTTATTGGGTGGGGGTTGTTGTTCTTGAAAATAAATGTTAATTTTTTATTGTGTTACATTTTCTTAGCATATAACATATCTTAATTATTTAAAAATGAAAAAAAAATATGTAAATTTAAGGCCTTCTATCTTTCCGTGATATTCTCTGTTTGATGAAATACATAATATACACACTAGCTACCGGCTATATGAATGCTTTAAATCCCATTAAAAATACCCTGTATTGTTTTCAAGGTACTGATGTTATAGATGATGTGAATAGGTTAAAAAGTATGTTTTTGAAATTATTCACATGCCAATATATTTGTTTGTTTTTCAAATGTATCTCTTGGTACTGTTGGTAAAGACCAAATAATTTATCTTAAAAAATAAGTAGATAGTACGACGAATTATGTCAATAACCTGCTAATATCAACTACACCAGTGTGTATATACTATAATGTGAAGCATAACTATAGGAAGTGTGACCAAATTAGGTTGTAGAACTATACTGTTAGATGTTAGGTACACATCAAGTTATCTCACTCGTCTATTGTACGATGATCAAAGGTTAACGTCAACGTTTGAAGCGACTCCCATGAACTCCCAGCTCTTTATAGCCGAATAATCCCCTAAAGATGATATACGCAACTTCCACTCCCGTATTTATGCATTGATAAGCACGAACATATGAATTAATGTATGAACCAGCGTAAGAAGTTAAAACCACTTGGCATCCATCCTCGATATCCAGGGGTTACGCTCACTTCATCCTCGATATCCAGGGGTTACGCTCACTCCATCCTCGATATCCAGGGGTAACGCTCACTCCATCCTCGATATCCAGGGGTTCGCTCACTTCATCCTTGATATCCAGGGGCTAGGCTCACTCCATCCTCGATATCCAGGGGTTACGCTCACTTCATCCTTGATATCCAGGGGTTACGCTCACTTCATCCTTGATATCCAAGGGTTACGCTCACTCCATCCTCGATATCCAGGGGTTACGCTCACTTCATCATCGATATCCAGGGGCTAGGCTCACTTCATCCTCGATATCCAGGGGTTAGGCTCACTTCATCCTCGATATCCAGGGGTTCGGCTCACTTTATCCTCGATATCCAGGGGTTAGGCTCACTGTCGGTCTCTACACCCCTGGGATATGTCATAGCAAACATGAACCGTAACTCCTGGATATCGAGGATGCTTGGCATCTGTCCCAAAGTTGTCCATAGAATCATTTAAAGATGTAATTCCCACAAGAATTATTGTCTTCTTATGAATAATTAAACAGAATCTGATCTTCTCGCGGGAATCAATATCCATCCCCACTCACTCACGTGGTATAGATCTACCATTGATTATATATCTGCGTCCAATTTCCTTGTAATCAATCTTAGTATATCGTTGGTTCGTTTCCCCGATCGGACGTGAACAGGTATGGGGTCACCTCCTGACCACTTGGGGTTTTCTCCGGGTACTCCGGTTTCCTCCCAAATTAAGAACCCCCGCGCGCTAACACCCGGGCCAACAAGAGTGATTTATATAAGTTGAAACAACTTGTTTCATAATTGTTGTAATTTTTTTTTTTTTTTTTTTTTTAAACAATCTTACTATATCTGAAATATTCTTCCAAGTGAAGTATATATGTTCAGTGGATCTCTCTTTAGAAATACTTTCTGTTGTCAATGAATTACGAATTACGGTTGCACTCGGTAATAGTATAATGATCAAGTACCTATGTCTTCCCATTTTCAGCAGATACAGCCTCTCGGTATCCTTTTGCAAAATTGAGAAATAAAAAATAAATAAACAAAATCTATAAATAAATGATATAAGAGTCGCCTTTATTCGGCAATATACACAAATGTCTTAAATACATTGCATATACAATGATCTATGTAGTGGTACAATGCATTAAATTTACATAACTATATAAAAAATAAGTAAAACAGTAACATTTATTCATGCACGAAATATGAAATGGCAAAGCCTGAAGAGAGCGTAGATATTTGCTAATCTTTGAAATGTATACGATATTTAAGTTTATTGAAAGTCTGCAGGTCGAGGAATAATAATAAAACACAAGCTCTAAGGAGTTTTTAAGACGGCCGACATTGACTGTTATTCAGAAAATAAAGTTTGCATCATATACACAATTTTCCTAAAAACTAAAGTGGTGATGTGTTCATGTGTGTGACTTATATATCGGTTCGGTGGCCGGTGGATAGCGAGTTCTTCACTAAAATGGCCGGGATTCAGGCTCTTATTCCTGTTCAATCCCCGTAACCTGCCTCACCACGTGGGTTTTCTCCAGATACCCCGGATTCCTCCCTGATTTAGAGTTAGACCATTTCGTGCATTCATCAGGAAACAAAAATAATCATTAATATCCAATGTAAGGAGAACAACAACTGTTTGATAATTGCAGTAAACTAAATATAGTTCGTGTATCATATTTCACGGTAGATCGATGAAGATGTACAATGATATCAGTTTAAAAACAAAATCGAAAAAAAAGAGAACATTGTGATTTTACGAAACTGAGCATCTTCGAAACTCCGGGGCCCGTATTCATAAAACCGTTCTCATGCTCAAGCATGCCAAATTTATTGTTCCCGCTATAAACTAATTAAAAAAATGTTTGTCAATGATTTGGAAAAACATCCAACATACTTAAAGCCAAAAACTGTTTTCAATGTTTACGTTTGACTTTTTGATCGTTTGACATGATTTAAGCGTGTTACAAGATATTTGGTTTAAGCACAGAATCCATGCTTGAGTATGAGATCGGTTTTATGAATACGGAACCCGGGTTGCGCTCATTTTCGCTCTCTGCACCCCTGGAATAGGTCCTAGCATTGGTCAACTCTGACCATCATAGTAAACGACACCTGAACGATTTGTCTGATGAGGCTGATATGATGATAAGCAGTAACATAGTGTGTACTTATTCTATGTATACCGTAGCTTATTTTCATACAATATCACGGGTTCAACAGTTTTTGTTATTCGTCCACGGGGTGAACAGTTCGTGAACAATATCAATAGATTTGTCGTGTGTTTAAATATTGTCCGAAACATCTGCAAATATTCACGATTGTTTGTTACTACATAACGGCACAAACACACAAACAAAAAGACTTAAACAAAACCACGTAAAACACATATTTTTACATTTGTGTTGCAGTGCCTTTAGCAGTACCAACTCAAAATGTTGTTATGATTCAATAAAAGCAAGTGTGTATTAATATTAACATTACTACATGTACATCATTATATGACCTCTGACCTCACTATTTAAACACAAGACACCCCCCCCCCCCCCCCCCTCCCCTCTACACTCACCAAAAAATACCACCCGAGTTTTGTTTTATGAACGGTTTATTTTTTTTCAAATCTGTATTAACTATGAACTGATCAACAAGAAATCACCCTGTTTTATTAAATAAGGCTGCTGAAAAAAATACACAGCACACTATCTCCGTGCCACGGCAATATAGAGGCGATGTATGACTGTGGTTTTGAATGAAGACACATCATGGTTATGTCGGGCCACCGAAGTGAGTCTGCTATTAGATCCTATAACAGGTCCTTTTCAACAGAACAGAAAGAAAAAAATTGCTGCCCTCTACACTAGCGTCCGTTGCAAGTGGCGAAGCAGGTCAACTCATCCCGGCACGTCGGCCAGTCCCCTCAGCGACAGTAACACTAACACATCCCGGCTCGTCGGCCAGAGTCCCCCCTCAGCGACAGTAGCACATGCCACATAATCGAACAATGAGCTCGTCCTATTGTCACAGTCGGTCGACACAAGAACCAGTCAACAGCATATTTTATATCGTCATCTGGTTTCTTAGGAAACTCCACATTTCACGGATGCACTTTCAATTTGCATTCACCCGTCTCTTTGCCAACCCAACTTCATCGTGACCTGATGAGCTTATCCGCTGCACAACCGTTGCTTATTGGTCAGCTACTTCGCAAAGACTGACTTTTTGTAACTAAAATATTGCACATGGTATTTTTGTGTCAAATTAAGATCTACTGTCAATTTTCGAAGATAATTAAAGCTTTTTGAACATTAATAATTAAATGATTATACGTAAACAAAGTGGAACTATTTGTTTATTGCTCAACTGTGTATTCCTTCACCATTGACAACGCATTATCTTTCCTTCCAAAAAAGCTGTTCATTTTATGTTGTTTTCATGAGAGTGTATCGCTTTTTACGTGAACACAAGACTACTTTTTTCTTAATTTCAAATAATGAAAGTGAATATAAAGAACGTAAATAAAAAGTTTGAAATGCATCTTTTTGACATTTATGAGGGTATGCAACACAACTCCGTTCAAACTTATTCTCCAAGAACGCGCATCTTAGGATATGTTTGAACGGAACTGTGTTGAACACCCTCATAAATGTTAAAAAGATGCATGTCAAACCTGAAGTAACAAACAACGCTATGCTAAAAATCTGGTAAAAATGCTTATATAGTTATGCTATAAGTAAAGTTTTTTTCGTCATTTTCTGAACTTGTCGAAAATATCTTTAATGTTGTGTAGATTAAAAAAGATCTCTTCGACTCATCCTAGATCAATAGAGTGATAGGTTATGCAACTGAGATGTTCGCTTTGGGGTTTTTTTAAGT